GGGTTTGTTCAGATCCCTAGTTTGAGCAAGTGTGAGCAAGCATCATAAATAATGAGGTTTATATGGGATATAAAACATTGACATAGCGCGACATACCGGCCCATGGCAGCTTGGTGTCCCGTTCAGGATCTTGCATTCAGGGTCACATTCCAAACACACGTTCTCTGACACATACTCGCGGGGGTCTCTGTAGAAACATATAAAATACAACAGTCAACAGGAGTGTAAAACAGTTTGGAAGTAAAATCTAATTTACTTCACACTGCAACTTGCGATAAAACCGGTATTACCAGTAACACTGAACGGCAAGGCTTTCGAATTTGCGATCTTGGTGTCACGTTTTACAAGGAAAGATAGTTGTCTGTTGCACTTACATCTTTAGACCTTTCACTTTCTAAGACTAAAATGAATGCTTGAAAGTTGGATTCATTATTATTCTTAATGAAAAGCAAAACAACAATAAACCAGTACAAAGACAAACTAGCTTATATAATGTGTATTAACAAAAACGAATAAAACGAGGCATGGCATACACCACATGCTGTATTATATATCGACAAACAAATTACAGAAAGTTTAGCAAACACTGTGGAATGAAATTTAAAAAAAAAAAATTTTTTTAAAAGCCTTCGTAACGTAACATCAGGTAAACAGCAAAGACAACAGGCTTTTCAAAACAAAAACAGAAAATGAAAACTAAATTGGCTGTTAGTGACAGTGCTTGCATGTTTTTTGCCAAGAAAACCAACATTTTAAGTTTAAGAAGTGGTGTTTTACTTTACTTTTACATTTCTCTTAAAAACCAAATGCTCCATGTGCCATCGTTTTCTCAGTATTCATGTAATTTTTGCCGCACGCACCTTGCTGCAGCTCTGCAGCGCGTGCTGTATAGAGCAGAGCAGACGCTTTCAGTTTAGAATTGTAGCGTCCATTGTCCAACTGAACTTTGAATGTTTTTTATTTTTACAAAAAAGCAAAACGATAGTGGGGTCGGTAAAGAAAAGTATTCGGTGTACAAGCCTAGTCAATGCTTTTGTTGACCCGTTCACATTATCATGATCTATTTTTAAAATAAGACTCTCTGTTGGACACTCACCCATCCAGCACACTGCAGTGACTTACACAGCGCCCCCTACGGCTGACATGCTGGCAGGAGACGCACATGGATTATCAGCCAGTATTATTATTAGATTTTTTAATTTATCTGTAACGGTATCTGACATATATCCACTGACATTTTATTTAATTTTAAATATTTAATAGTACACACTTATGTCCCTTATGTTTTTACATTTAGATTGCATTTGCAGTCATCTAACACTCACTTAAATCTTTAAAACACTAATAATTTAGTAACTCGGTTAAATGTAATATTTTGTTAATCTCAAAATGAAAATTAATTTTTCATATTGTAAATTTGAGTGTTATCATGCCTAGATTCACTAGTTTTTAGTATTTTTTTAATTTATTTACACAAAATAGGCAATGAATTGGTTATTGGCCATAACATAAAAATGATTATCAGCTTGCTAGCGAGTTTGAAATGACATGAGGGTGAGTAAATGATGACAGATGTTTCATTATCCCTTTAAGACATGGCATACAGCAGTTCCTCATGCTAACACAAACTCCAGCATTCTCCATTCTGTCATTACTCACAGTCTCATGCACTGAACAGATCATCTTTCAGCCATCACTTCTGAAACTATTTCAATAGAGTTCT